TATTTACGTCCACGTGATAGCCAATAATTTAGAGTAGAAAATTTGTTATTAAACACAATTGGAATTTATATATTGAAAAATCGAAGTTCGATCTGCGATTAAGCAAATAAATTGATGATGTAATTATAAACATATAGACATATGGAAGTATACACGATTGCTTTATACAAGCATTTGGTTGTATAACAAAATAAACATCACTTAGCCAACAAACGTGGCTAACAAGTAGCTATAATTTAAAATCGCCATCATTTATAGATAGAAAGAGAAGGGAAAACAGAAGGAAATTATAATATTCCTTGTATTTATTTAATATTAATAGATAAATTAAAAATTAAACAGCCAAAACCAAACGTATATACAACTATTGTACGGTGAGTTATTAGAAAATGTCACATAAATTTAAAATAAATTTAACAAAATCAATGCTATTGTCTGGCCTTAAACACACCTTCTTACTTATATTCGCACAAAAAACAGGTGAATACAATCCACGCAAAATATACGCCACCAGCTCATGTATCCTATACTTCATACTATGACGCGGAACATTTGTAAGAATTTTGTCTCAATAAAACCGGGGCAACCATATTACCTACCACAAGTTGATGAATGAAAATTGTTTCGGAAACATGATAATTTTTTTCTGATTTCCGATTCCGGCAAACTCTCATGATAATTTTTACTTTCACACTTAGAATAAGTGTTACAATTCAAATCCATTTAAAATCAAACTCAATTAATTATCTTGATCTCAACTGAGTTGCTGTTAATCGTTTCTCGTTCACTTCAACATTAAATTATTTTTAATTACAATGCATAATAATATAAATAACAATTGAGATGCTAATGTTTGTTGCGTGTATGTTTATACGGTTAGACGGTTTATTTAAGAAAAACTAAAACAAACCCTCAATCGTTTTTAATAAAAATAGCAAAACAAAATTTGTCTGAAAAATCTTGTGTTCATTTTTATTGTTTTTTTTATTTTTTTGGTTTCCCTACAGCTTTTCTTTTCTTTTTAATACGTTAAACGTGAGAATTTGTTTTATTTTCGAAAACAAAAACAAAATCCCGTGTATTGAACTTATCCTGCGATTTACCTTAAAATTAATTAATATGATTGTGTTTTCAAGGATATTTTCTTTGTTTTATGTTGTTCTATTTTAGGTTGTATTTTATCAAATTTTTTCTAGTTGCTATAGATGCTTATTTTAGAAGTGATTAACATATCTGATTTAAACATTTATTGGTACTTAGAGAAAACTTTCTACATTAATCAAAAAATGCAAGAAATATTTTTAGAATATGTGTAAATGTAATATTTTTACTATCACAATCCATTTTTAAAAGCAGTACAAACGCAAGTATAAATAAAGTTTGGTCAAACCAATGGTTTGTATTATAGCACTTTTCCCTTCAACAAGGGAAAATTCTGCTTTTAAATACAGTCTATGTATACCTATCATACTATTAAAATTATTTTCATTCATATACAAAACTATTGCTAGGATTGCATATATTTAGGATGACGCATATATGCAGTCTTTGAAATAAAGCAAAAATTAATATAAAAAGGGGTTAACATAATGCTCGATTTTAAAGGTTAATTGTGTGAGATAAGAAAAATAATTATTTTTTTTAATTTCACGGAATTTACCGTTAGCTTTTTGTGTTTATAGAAATTTGAAAAAGCTTGCGGTTTCGGAAATATAAGGTGTCAAAAATTCAAATTTTACAAATTTCAGGAGGCGATAACTTGTGAGGGGGTGGAGATGGAAAAAAATCTTCTTCTAATGAAATGAACTATTTATTAATTTCTAAAAGCCCCTAAAATTTAAAGCTTCTACAAGCTGGGGTCTAGAAGAAAAACGACATCAAAAATTTGGAAAAAAAAGACCTTAGATAACGGTAAATTTGAACGGCCATTTTGTTTTTCTAAAATTTAACCATAGTATACCGCGCTAGGGGAAGCAAGCCGCTGCCTTTATGCGTTTGCAAAATTTTAAAAATGCTTATGGTTTCATTGCAACAAATAGTTAAAAAAGGCCATTTTTAGGGTTTTGGGGGGGTATAACTTCTAGAGGGGGGGAGATAGGTAAAAATTTTGTTCTACGGAAATAAGTTTCTAGTAAAGATCTATGTACGTACAATTCAGCTTTCTATCTTCAAGGGTGTAAAAGTTTTGTAAACAGACACACGGACAGACGGACGGACGGACGGACGGACGGTCGGACGGACGGACGGACGGAGAGAGTGAAACTAATAAGCACTTTTTTTCAAAAAATTTTTGGAAAAGTGATAAAAAAATTAAATTTGAATCGAGACTCTTTTTTTGATATCGCGTTTTTTTTTTTTTTTTGATTTTCTTGGCATTACCCGTGTTTATACGACGATTTTTGCCTTAATGGTTGATTTCAATTTTCAGATTGACTTTCTTATGTTCTATAAAATACCTTTTCGATTGCCTTAAGTAACTCAGCAATGCATTTTTAATTAAATGATTGTTTTTCTGATTTATTACCCATTATATGAATTTAAAAAAAATTCATATTAAAATAGTATTAAATTTTTTATAAAATAGCTGCATTCAATAACTAAAGAATTCTTAATGTATTTCGGCAATATCATTTAAAAATTATTAATAAAAATCCTCTAATATTCAATGAAAACACTTTTAATTGAATAGAATTTAGCAATTAATGCAATAATTTATAACATCGTTAAAATTGCATACATACATGCACAAAATATTGCGGAGGATATGCCCATTATAGATTAACGCAAAAGAATAATAAAAGTGTACAAATGTACGTACTCAATAGTATCCACGATTACAAACTTATTTGTAAGTATATACCTACATATGTATATACACATTCAAATGCATAAGTACATTTAAACCAATTATACAACAACAAAAAAAAACAAAGGAAAATTCCAAAAACTAATTTTATAAAATTTTATGATTTTTAGTAGAAAATGGGATGGTTTAAATAATATTAGCTATATCATTAACTTTTTAATCTCCTCATTACCAAATTAATTCCCTTGTACACTCAGCAGTATTAGAATTAAAATTCATTATTTTATTTTGTGCAACAATATTGCTCCTAACCGTGTGTGCAAACACATATACAGCAACAGTCATAGTAGCCCATAGTAGAATATGTATTTTAAATATAAACGTATTTTGTAATTTTAAATAGCGTAATATGACCTTTAAATATTATTAATTTTTTAGAAAGTTAATTTAAGTAAAATTTAATATAAAATACAGAAACAGTTCATTTGATGTTAAAAAAAATATATTACGTATGCTACTCTTATATGTACATATGTATGTATAAATGTACCTGGCTAAAATAAATTTGCTCTTCTGTTTGCTTTTTTAACGGTGAGAAATGAAACTACAATTCGGGTTAAGCTTAGAAATAAATCTAAAACCACTGTTTTACAGGCAGCCAAGTTTTGCCAATTTCGGAAAAATTGCTTCGGACAATATGTTAAAAATTGCCCGAATTGAAATAACATATTTTCTGAATGTGCTGCTTCTGATTCTACAAATAAGGTTATGAAAATCCTTGTATGTTTTTTTATTCAACCAAAATACGAAAATATACACATAGTATGAAATTATGCATGTGGTGGCAAAATTTTGAAACTCGTTCTTTGAAATTTTATAAAATATTGCAATAGATGGCTTTTATACTCATTTTAGACACTCACGAACTAAAAAAATGCTCATATTACCAAATATGTATACCCGTAACACAATACAATTTTAACTCAAATATAAGTAAAAAAACAGAAATAAGGATATTCAGTCAGGATTGTCGTTTAAGAAAGTTTTGAAGACATAAAATGATTTTTTGAATAAAATACTTGTTTCAAATCGATTTTCATATTAAAAATAAAACAAAAATTTAATAGAGCATACGAAAAAGATTAACGTAAATATAGGAAAATACGTAGTTAATAAAAATAGTTCTAGGTTTCTAAAAAGGACCAAATGCAAGCGGATACCAAGAACGAGTTATGTAAGCAACTTTATAGTTACAAAGTGAGCATAGCTTGGCTTCTTTTGGTCAACATTTTATTTAAAGCAATTTATATACTTTTCAGAGTTAACTTCCCAAACAAAACTAAATGAAACCGAAAGATTTATAAGTCTACATTGTAAAATCACTAATTACATCACATTGATCTTAATAAAAACATCTTCGTTTAGGTTTAGTGTGTCATAATTTTAGTAATTTAATTACTACTTATTAGATTCCCGTTTTATCTAATTCTATTTGTTGTCTTTTTCATCTAGAACAAAATGACTAAATAGTGACTGAATTTTTTATATTTTTGGAATACAAAAAAAAATAAATTTCAATTTTATTATACGAATAAATACATTTTATATGCATAATTATTTTACTTTCTTTTTATTCGATGAAGAAAAAGAGCCCTTTCAACCAGTGAATTACTCTAAATTTCTTTGTTATTCCATTTATTACTAAAGTATCTACTAGGGTTTTCAAAATTTTTATAACTTTTTTTTATATTTTAATTTTTTTGAAAGTTAGATCAGTTATAAAGTAAAGTTTATGAAAAACTTTGGATCTTTCTCTGAATATAAAGAAATTATTAATAATAATCACAAATAAAAAACTAATTTATTGTTTTCTTGAATTTAATATTGTATTTTTTAATAATCTTATCCAATAATAATTTTTCTTGTTTACATTTCTTTTTAAACCATTTACTATTAAAGAATTTTTTAATTCTTAATTCTTTAACAAGTTTTTGCATCAAATTTGAATAAAAATAAAAGAATGATGAAAATTTAAATTTGATTTCAATTTTTACATAATTATTTGAAATTTTATTTAATTCTAAATTTTTATCAATAAAATCAACATAAAACAAATTATTATTTAACAAAATATTTTTCTTATTTTTAAGATTATTATTATTATTTTTATTATTTTTTGTATAATAATTATAAAAAGTATCAATATTCTTTTTATAGATTTTTTTTATGCAAAAATTTTTTGTCAATACTTCTTTATATAATTTACGGATATTGTAATAATTCAAGCAATCATTTATATATTTATTATATCTTTTACCATTATAATTAAATTTCAATTCTTTAGCATTAATTTTAATTGAACTTAGTCTATTCAATTGACACAAATAACAAACATCATATTCCCTTTCATTTCCATTATTATTTTTACTACGGTTATCATTTTTGTGATTAGAAATGTTATTATAATTTTTAAGGTAATTTTTTCTATTTTTTATATATTTTAGAAAAATTCTATACTGAATTTCATCCATAATTAAAGGTTGTTTGAAAAAGAAATGCAATTAAATTGAATAGATTAATATTTTTATTGTGGAAGTTATAAGAAATAAATGAAAGCATTACAAAAAATTTACTGGTAAAAGTTTATAACTTTTATAAATTGTATTGAAAGGAATAATATTTAATAGAAAATATATTTTTCAAAATAAAGTTGGTTTTTTTTTTATTTCACAAAAATTATATTGTTTTAATACGCTTAAATAAAATATATATATATATATGCACACAAATTAATAATATTTTTCAATTTAAATTATTTTTAATTTGTTTTTAATATGATTTTTTAAAATCATATAGAAAATATTGCAAAGTAATTAAAAAAGATATTTTTTTTTTGTATTAAACAGAAAACAAAAGTTATACGCTATAAAAATAAATAATATTGAAAATCTTAGAAAATTATTATAAAATTGAAAGAAAATTTTAAAATATTAATAATATCAAAATTAGACACAAAATAAATAAAGAGTTATTAGAATTTGTTATTTATAATAATTGTTAATTTCTCTTTATAAATTTTTTTTGCTTTCGCTTCAATTTTTGTATTAGAGAGAAAAATTAATCAAAAATATGATTTAAATATGTATATATATATATGTATGTTTGTTTTTATGTATATATGTATTAAATAAATTCTAAAATGTTATTTTAAATGTAGGACATTAATTATTAGATATAATATAGGAAATCAATTATTTTTTTTTTTTTAATTTTTAGTTACATAAGTTCTTTTCAAATCGTTATATAATGTCATAATAATAATATATGGTTTGTATATGCTTTAATTAATAAATTTTAATCGTCGAATGATTCAACGTAATCTGAGGCACTATTATAGTTCAAAAGCTCATCACGCAATTTCATCATTGTTTGTATAGCTGAACGATGTTTTTTAGTTTTACTATAACGGTATCTAGCACCACTTATCATTTTATCAATTGTATAATGCAACCATAGTATATTTGTATAGGGTTCATAATTTTCCCACTGGTTACTAAAAAGAAAAAGAAAGAAATTAATGAAAATTTTTATTAATATTATTATTGTGTATAAATATTTGCATTATAACAATTTAAAATAAAAATTAGTTCATATACTATTTAAGACATAAAGGGGATTAAGCTCAACATATTTTAAAGTAATAAGAAAAATATAACTTTAATATTTTTTAAAAAGTACTTACTCTAAACGTTTTTGCATCAAACGATATATTTCGAATTGATAATCACCATGTGCTGAAAACAAATCACCAGCTGTTAAATCGTTATAAAGGCAACAGCCTTCAAATATCATGCGCGATAACGTATAATCGATTATTGTTGCTTTAACACCATGTGTTGGTATTTTATAATCTTTGCCGTCTAGTTTAAAATGGATTTCCTTTTGGTCAGTAGACTGTAGTAAGATATTACCCCAATGTAAATCACGGTGTTCAAATTTAAATTTTTCTTCAGCAACTGCTAAACTTAAAGCAACCTAAATTATTATAGCAAAAATATGTATTAATATAAAAATATTGATAATAAATTATTTTTTATAATTTTCAATTTCTGTTGTAACAATACATTAAATTTATAACTTAAAAAATACTTAATTAAAAACGAAAATAAATTAAGAAAATTAATATAATCCGAAAATTTAAAAAAACAAAAAGAACAAAAATACTATACAAACCAAAGTATGGGCCAAACTGATGAATTTAATTTAATTAATAGATGAGTGAAAATCTAGTCATGAGAACAAATTTTTGTTCAAGCAAAAAACAACCATGCACCAGAAATTTCACCGCACCTATCAATTTAAATTATAAAAAATAAAACAGCAAAATTAAAACTGATAAAATAGATTTTCATCTAGCACGTCCTACTTACGGTACTATTAACTGTTTTTTTTTTCTTAGTATGTATTAATTCCCGAATGGTATTATTCTGATCTTCTTAATTCTGTGATTTTATAAAAAAAAAACAAATCAGTTGAAACTTTTTAAATTCTATTTTGTCTTAGATGTTTAATCTTATGTCCGTGGAACAATAAATTTTACATTGTAAAATCAAAAATCATAATGTATGGGAACATAACAAATTGTAAAAGCGATATTTTAAATTCATTAAGAAGGATTTAAAATATTTTTTTTCGCTTTTGTTCCCAATTTTTTTTAAAGAGTTTGTCACAATATCATAACATACAATATGGTAAGAATAAGATATTACTGAAATAAATTTTGATTTCAAAAACGAAATGGCAAACGATTTCAATCTAATTTCAAGCGGATTTCCTTGAGTTACAAAAAAATATATTATAAAAATAACTAAAATGAATATAAACTTTAATTAAAAATATTGAAATTAATTAAAATATATAAAAACTAAAATAATTAAGCAACAAAAACAAACAAAAAGAAACTTTCTCATTGGATGAGTGTAAATCTAGTCATAGTTTATTTAAAAAATATATGCACTAGAGATGCACCCACCCAATGAATTAAGTTTAAACGAAAAACCTTAAAAATAAAATATAATTTGAAAATAATATATATATATAATTAAACAAAAAATAACTTAAATCTAAACTATACTAAAAAAATAAAAAAAAAAGAAGTTTCTTCATAAATAATTTTACCTGTAAAAATGCAGAATAAGATTGCAAAGCGTTTTGAAATTTAAATGCTTCTAAATCTTCTCCAGCATTAGCTAATTCTAATACAATATACAATTGATCGTCTGGAAATACTTCTGGATGATCGTTTTCTGTACCATGATTATCCCGATATAATTCCCACAATTCAATTAAATGATCTGGATAACATCCCTGGACACAATGAACCTAAAAAGGGAAAATAAAACATTATTTAATTAAAAATATTCTATTAAATGAATTTTAACATTAATGTTATGTTAAACATACATTTTTTACTTCAACGAAACCACTTGTCATAGATAATTTATCATTTCTAAGTCGGCTTAATTCTTCAGCGATAATTATTTCAGGTAATATTTGCTCAAAATTCTTTTGTACTTCACCATTAATTTCAATTTGTCCTTCAATTGGTATTATTTTCAATACAATAACTTCACCATTTTCATTTTTATTCATAAAAACTTCACCATAAACACCTTCACCAATTTTACGACAATGACGTAATGAAGATTCAGAATAAAGTGTTGAAAAATCAAATGGATCAGTTTGTTGACAACGTCTTAATACGATATCACGTGGACTTAATTGAGCACGGAGACTAACATCAAGTGTGGGACAGTAGATAATTTGGTTTTCATCATTATTAAATGATTTAGCGAATCCAGAATATTTATCATGAAATGATTTATTTTTTCTATCAGTGTTACCGTTAAAATGATCAACTGCTGTTGCACCAGATAATTTAGTTGCTTCCTTAATAAAATTATCGACAAGAAATCTTTGTTCTTGTTGATAATTAAAATCAACTTCAATAAAACTTGAACGTCTTCGACGATTTGACGGATGGCCAAGTATTGAAATAGATTGTCGATTACCTGATATTGGTAATGACAATTGATGTTGATATCTTGATAATCTTTGTTGTTGTTGATAATTTGTTTCTGGTCCTGTTGTTGTACGGCTTTGTACATAAAATGATTTTTGAATCTCATCAGATTTTTGTTTGTAGCTCTTACTATTGTTGTTATTTTTGGCTTTATTTGTTGTTTTTCGATCATTGAAGTATTCAACGTCTCCGTCTGATGGATTATATTCAGAATCGTCGTCAATATGAAGTTCGTCTTCTTCTTCCTCTCCTTCAGTTTCTTCAACAATTTCTGGATATTGTATTGAAGATTGTGGCGGCTTTTGTTTTTGCCGTTGCAATGACTTTTCAGTGAAATTTTGTTGCAATTGAGGATTCGTTTGCAAATTTTGTTTTGATAATTGCTGCAGTAATTGCTTTTCTTGAATACATGGAGCTGCTGTTTCTGCTCTTCCGATTGATGATGGAGATGATGATTTTGATTGTTTTTCAAAAGTGTTGAATAACGAACACGATGTATGTATAATAGGCGCTTCGTCATCGGTTGGCTCCAACAACAATGCTTAAATTTAAAAAAAAAGCAGAAAAAAAAATATAATTAATTAAAAAATTAATATTAAATTATTTATAGAAAAACTACCGTAAATAAATTTACTAAATGAGAATAAAAAATTTGATGAGAAAACCGCAAAACGTATCTTATATAAAATAAATTCAAAATTATAACAAAATTATTTACATTTGAAATTTTATTTTGCTTTAATTCATTAAAAAAAAAAAAAGTGTATGCTTTGCATATTAAACCGGGATAAAAAAGAATATTCAGCAAAATTGTTATGCATACATAACATATGCAAATATGAGCACATTTATGCATATAATTATGTACATACATATGTACATATGTATATTACAGCTCTTCACACAATCGCATTATTATTTAACAATTAAGTAGCGGTTACGGTCGAGGTAATCGGAACTACAAACAAAAAAATGTTCACAAAAACTTTTACATACGTTTGTAAAAAAAGAAAAAAAAAAATTTGATTTGTTGAGCTAAAAGTGCGAATGCTTCTCTGAATATTTATGTATAGATTAAAAAAAAATTTGTAAAAATTTTGAAATTTTACATGAAATTTATGAATTGTCTGTTTTAACTGTACAAATTTTTAGGTATAAGAAAATCGGACTTATGATTCTACATAACAAAGTAGATTAATGCTCTAAAAATTTTCAATCAAGTTTTATTTCAACTAAATCAGTTCTTCGAACTAAAGAAAGTAGATTTGATGTTTAGAAACACATGGTTATCTTACTGTGGGTACTAATACTAATCAACTTTGCCGTTAATCCAGTATAGATTTAATCTTCTTAGTAAAGTGGTACTGAAAAATAATAAAAGATTTTGTAATACGAACATGTTACGGTTTCGATAGTATATAATATAGTAACTGGTCTATAATTCTGTAATGTTTATCTAGTTAGAAACAAAATATTAATTTACTGATGCATAAACATTAAATTAATTTTTCGTTACATTACCCAACCCTACAATAACATTAACATAAAATAATTTGTACTTTTTTTTTTTATAATAACGTTAGTACAATAATATAACAATAGTTATTAGAAGAAAACGTGAACTCAAGGTAAAAGGTAGGTAAACTTTTAAACACCTTTTTCTCATTTAACAAAAAGAAATGTATATATGCATGTATTTTCTTCCTTCTCTTGGGTGGTATGTTTTTAATAATGATATACATATGTACATAAATGTGGTGATTTTAAATGTAATATAATGCACACTAAACAGATGGAAATAAGATTTTATGCAATTTTAATAAATTTTAATAATTTATTATTTTTGAATCCTTCGAAATTTTCATTGTGAGAAAAAAAAATATTATTTCCTTTTTTATTATTTCAATTATGTATACCACACATTTTTGGTTAAAATTTGTTTGTGAAAAATAATATAATTTTAAAGGGTGAAGAAAATAGGGAACCTTATACACAAAATTACTCTTAATTTGAGTGACATTTTCTTGTATGCAAATGCAATTTTTAAGTACATTGTATATGCAATCTTACAATAATTACATGAAAAAATAACAATAAGTTTGAAATTACAAAACGAACAGAAATAGAACAAACAGAAACAGGGTGAAAAATGTTCAATTCTAGAAGAAAAATTAAAGGAATGAGGTCAAAGATTATGAGGTCAGTGTGTGGCAAAATTAAAAATGTGAATAAGGCTGCGTTTCTTCTGTAAGAAACAAATATAGCTTAAATAAAGTTTGGAAGTTCTTAGAAAATCTAGTTCTTAGAAAAAATTTTTTCCTAGAAAATCAAAGGTTTATTTTTCGCTAATCAAAGTTTGAGAATTTTTCTAAAACCAATTTAATTGCGAAAATTTCGACACTGAATTCCAAAATTAGGTATAAAATTTTCAGCCATTTTTTATTTTAATTTATTGTTATCAAAACAAGTTTTTTCAACTTCAAAACCACGGAACTATGTAATTAGATGATATCTAATATGAATCAAGAGTATATTGACATTTTATTTAATTGAATTAATCGAAAATGTATTCCTAGCTGCCATAATATTTGTATATATGTATATTATATGTACATATTTTATTATATACATCATCATATGTAACTATATTAATTTTTATTTACTGTGCAAAGTAGTTTGAAAACGAATATGCATTAGTATTAAGTATGTTACATAGAATATGTATAATTTAAAACTTTTAATACTAATATATTTATAGAGCTTAGAGAGTAAGTATAAGAAGATAGAAATATTAACTAAAATAGAAAATAAAATCTATTTTTTTTTTCTTTATAATTTTCTTTGTTTGAAAATTCTTCCATTCCAAACGAAAATAGCGAAAAAAATACACATGTATGTACATACATATACACTTAATATATATAAAGAAATTTTCCTCAATAATATTGATGGCGCCATTAAAAAGATGGTCGGGCAGCTTTTCTATTTTTTTTTATTTGTTATGGTGTTTAGTACCGGAGCCAGGAATAGTTAATTTTTTTTATTTTTACTTTTTAAGTAAGTTAAAGCGATTAGGATTATTATTTAAAACAAAGAGAGTTTACATTACGATCAAAAATAAAGAATCTATACAATAGTAATGAAGTAAAATCTAATTTAAATTAAGATTCTCGAATTACATATACTAGCATGCTGCTGTGCTTCATTAAATTTCTAATGATAATACAAACATATACATATATGTAAGTGTAATGTGAAAAATTGGCTTAAACAAGCTGGAAAAAAGGAAGTATGTAAAATATAAGTAGTTTTATAAAACCATTTTATAATTTTTCACTTATAGTGTAATGATCAAATATATAGATAGTATTTGGTGAAGTTTTAAAATATTTATGCGAAAACTTGTGTCGATTTTGTTTTTGTTGTGTAAAATGTAGAAAAAATTAAAAAAAAAAATATGTATTGAATTATATGCGAGTCTATGTATGTATTTATTAAAACTAATAAATTTCCCGATTGTTAATAGGATTTTCATGTAATGCAAAGCGATATGCAAGCAATTTTGATGAAGAGAAATATATTTAGTCTTGTGGAAACGGTTCTAAAACAATTTTTTGTTTCAGCCCGAATCAAGATCTACACTATAATAACAAACAACTCATATATTTTCAGATATACTATGATATCTCGATATTTGACTAGTTGTTGCACATGTAGATTCCGCTTTTTACATAGTAAATCGTATTGTAAATTCATATACAAACCAGGATGTCATCAAAGCTATTTTTAAATGTATGTTAGATTTAGTAAGGAATATTTAAGTTCCGATCAAATTAATTAATGTAAGATTTGGTAAATATTTTAATGCAGACAATGGTAAATATTTGCAGGCAATGGTAAATATTTGCAGGCAATGTAGCAAATATTAAGACGGAATAAAAATGTTATATGGAAATGAAATATTAACAAAAACTTTAATACACACTGTGTCCACTGTACAAAATATAATTGGCATTCATTTTATATGATGCCTTAATTCACATAAAATAAAATAATTTTCTAGTAATTTTTTACTTATACCATATTTTAAAAATTGCTCATATAAACTTTTAGTCTTTCATACATATATTAAGAATAGATTTAATCTTTTTAATATTTCGACTACATTTAAAATTTTTCCATTTTGAACAATTAACTTTTTTTCTTATTCTATTAAAAGTGATGATGACTTTTTGTAATACAAAAGAAATTATTTATCTACATAATATCATTCAAGATAAATGTGTGTACCATACTCGTATTATGAGAATATTTTAAAATTTTAGGGGAAATGATATAACAAATAAATATTTTGTGTTGAATTGAAGAATGAATATTTAAAGTAGGACCCATTGTTTAACTTAAAAACCAACTATTTTAAGTATAAGTAAAATAATTTTACATACATACATATATGTATATGATACGGATTCTGAATTTTTCTATCAATTTATAAAGATTTTTAATATTACATTATATTCAAATATAAATTATAAAAAAACAGTGAAAAAAAAATTCTAAAATTAGAAATTTAAATTAAAAATACGAAAATTTCTCAACCAGAAATTGAAATTAACGATTATCTACTCATTAGTTATGTATATAAGTATATATGTATATATAATAAAATATATGAATAATTTAATGATAAAAATTCATATATGTATACATGTACATACTTACATAATATGTAATAGATTTTTTTTTTATAAATTTTAAACAATGAGAAATTTTTTTTCCATTTTTTTGCCTTTTGGTTTTTTTTTTAATTTTAATCCTAAAACTCTAAATATTTGACGTAATTAGATCTTTTCTTTTTTTTTTTATACTTTTACACAAGTTATTTACATAATATGGATTTAAATTTTATTTGGAATGGTATAATAAATTTGATTTTTCATTTGTTAGGGTACCAAAAAGAGAAATTCCTTATAAAATGTCCAAAGAAATGAAAAATTACAAAAATTTATTACAATCATCAAAATAAATAAAGTTCGTTTTAACAAAAACTATTAGAAATTTTCTCATTCAAGAATAATTAGCCTGCATGATTTTCAGATTAACAATCCTTCAGCAGCTTCACTTAAGTAATTATAAAATTTTAATATAGATTAATTAATTTTTTGCTTTCTTTCTATTTTTTAATACATTTAAATTTGAGCTTGAAAGAAATTTTTTTCATAGCATCTTTATTGTAACACAGAAAAGTATATTAATTTAAAAACTACGAAAATTGACCCAAAAAAATAGTTCTTGTTTGATATGCGGCTTAATTAAAATTCAATTTTTGAAATACAATAATCCTCCACAAAAAATTACCTCGGTATAGAAAAGTTCACTTAAGTCTTTCTAAAAGTAAGTTTTTTTTTGTAAATCACTCAATGTTGAAAAATTAATTTTTCTTATATAAAAATTAAGTATGAACGTCGCTTTAAGTAATTTCATTAAAAGTCGTGAATTTGTCGTTTCAAAAAGGGCTTTGACCGAGGTATTACTGTAATT